CGTTCACAGCTGTTCGTTTTTATACTTTAGCATATTAAAAATTACAACCTTACGGCAAATTGAGCACATGTCAATGTACGAAAAAGCTGCTCAATGGTTTATTAAATAAAATTGGTACAGCTGAAACCCATGCATGCTTAACCGGCAATGCAACCGGTAATGTTTACTCTTACTATTTATTAATAGGTTTACCCAAAGAAATATAGTTTTCATTAAAACGCTAATGCGCCTCTTCGAAGAATCCTGAAACTGTGCCAAGAGCTTAAAGTGGACATTCTCCCATTTTATATCGTTAAAAGATGAACAATATTGAAAATTTTCCCCTTAGCATCTAAATTTTGCTTCTTTTCTCTGTTTTTTGAGGTATGACATACTTGGGCGATCCCCTTTGGATTTGTGACAACTACATTTTTCCTTGTTTTGTTTAGGATTGAATACGCTGGTTTTATCAATGCTTTAACGATGTGACATAAATAGTAAGAGACACTAGTATCCTCAATTGTTTGACATTTTCTTCTTAATGGACTGTTTACAAAGTCGAGCAACATGTACCCACTGTAACGTGATTGGCTTTACTGATTAGGATCTACTTTAATTGTCATTTTCGAAGCCGCTCTGCAGATCAGCTTTCTTGTCTCCTTTTTTATGTCTTTCTTGAAGAAAGCGTACGCCCAAAGGGTTTATGGCGGAGTTTAAGATCAATATAACCTGAATATAAGTAATTTATATTCAAAGTCATTATATGGAAGGCTGAGAAAGAGTGATACAAAGCCACAGCGACAGTGAATTCCGCGGGAACAAATAAGAAACAAAACTGCAACAATTGTCGTCATTGTAAATGTAGATTTGTCGTGCTTATTGAATGTCAGTCCTTATGTGATTGAAACGTAACTGTTTCGTAGCTGCTGATCGATCCTATTTATATACAGCAAGTACCATAGCTCTTTAGTGAAGCCATTTTCAGTTATCGTCAGAACGGAAAGAACCGAGCCAAGAACCCAAAACCAGGTTTCCATACTATGATTACTTTATCTTGGCTACGATCAATACTCCTAACGAGAAAATGAAAGCACCTGCTCCGATTTTACTTAGTGTTGTACTGACTTATGCATATATATCACACAATAATTACACTTTGACAACAAGTGAGTCCAATGCGGTCAGCGGTCAGCGGTCAGCGATGATGATGGGGGCGTCTTTTGAATTTGGCTAGTTTAGTGTTATTTGTTGCGTTTTTTGTGTGTTTAAATAATTTAGTTTTTCGTGTAAGAGTTCCTGTTCAAAAACGCACTTAAAAAATATGATCTTGCTCAATATAGACTTATGTGCGTGTGTATGTGTGTGCGTGCGTGTTTGTGTTTCAATGAATAACAAAGCTATAATAGAATAAAGTCAATCTTGTTAAAGGACCATAATTAGTTTTACTATCACGTGCCCTTCTCCATTCTAATTTTTCTCTTTTTTTTCTTACGTCCACGTAGTTTAAACAACGTTGTACTAATTAATATTGTACAACTAATGTATTACAACTATAGGGTGGAGTAAAAATTAAATACAAATACAAATACAAGCGAGTCAGCAATTTCTCTAAACAGACTGTTTATAACTACTATATGTGTTTCAATGATATTCTCTTCTTTTAAAAGAAGGACATATTAGGAGGTATGCCATCATTGGAAATTTTGGTTCTCTGTGCAAGTTTTTCCCGAGTATATTTTATTATTAAAAAGCTTTCGTTGAATTATTTGTGGCGATCAGGGCAAAATATGTTAACGTTTTTCTTTTCTTGACAGGCTTGTACGATCTATTTTCAACACACACTACGGGAGGTTCTGAGTTTAGTTCTGGATGAGGACCGGCTTTGCCTGGTAGTTAGTTAATTACTCATACGTTAAAAGAATACCTGCGGAATAATTATCAAATGATTTATTAATCATGTTTTGAAAAAGAAAAGAAAAAGAAAACAAAAACAAAAACAAAAAAGATCGAAGGGCTCGTAGATTTCTTTTCAAAATATAAGCAAGTCAGGCTTGAAATTCCTGTTGTAAGACAGCTAGTTGAAACCCATTATTCAAAGCCAACGATAAAGCTTTATGAAATTTATATGATTACACTTGATCAGTTTGTATAGAGTTAGATCCCAGCCAGATTTGAACGTATTTGGTGAAGGCGAAGTAGATAATTAATTTGCAACACGCAAAGGGAAGTGCAGAAAACATTGATTATAAAAATATAACGGGAGTAGAAGAAAAAATAAATGACTCGATAGTTGGTAATTACAATTGAGTTGAAATAGCTTCGCAGCAAGCCAACAAAATCCATCCAGGCGAACCGTAACCAAACAGCCTCCTTTAAAATAGCAAAGACTTTCAACAGAGAAGCAAACTTATTTTGAGGCCGCTTGCATGCATTGGTTGTGTTACAAGAGTAGTGGAATCCATATATAGAGGACACTCGTTTACATATAGTGTTCTGACAAAAAGCTCAGGCTTTTTTTTAATTTACTATTTGTTAATATAGGACAATTCAGCGTAACCCCCAAACAGTACGTCATACAACGTTTACCTGCCTGTCGATCTGTGCACTGTAATCTATAGAAGCGTCGTACCAGTGAGAGCCTAACCAAACGTACGGACATTTTCCCCAGAAGATCTCAGACTATTTTTCTTAATTTAGCCACTTAATAAGGACAACGTACAATTTTGGAAGTAACCCGGATACCAGAGAACTGAACCTAACAGGAGATCGAGGCAGACCGTCTTTCAAAGCCTAGTCTTGCCTTGTATTCAGTCCATCTGACTGAACCCTAAACTGAGAAGGAAAAGTAGCATAGCAAAGTCACGCGCTATTTTGGATGTTCGCGACAACTAGCCACCACTGTTTTTCCCCGTAAAATAGTGAGTTTACGCAACAGGACGGCAGGAAGAACAGGACAGCAAAACGCTTAAGTATGACAAACGTGACGGGGCTATTACTTGCGAGTTTTGTCCGGAATTCACTTAACTTTGATGTTTTTTGCTCTTCTACAAAAAGATCTGTTTAAAGGAATGTGAAATTTGGCAGAAGGTTTTTTGAAACAAGAGTATTGTCACGCTTGTCACACAAGGTTTGCTGTCGTCCTTTTTTTCCTTTCCCGTCCGGTTGCGTAAGCTCACTAATAACGTCTGAGGAAGAGCTGCAGCAATTCTATACTGATAACGTGTCACTACCCAGATCTGCATAGCGCTTCGATAGGGAAATTTTGCTTCAACCAATCAGAAGCACTATCCAGATCTGGGTTGTTATACGTCACCAGCATAGAATTTCTACGCTCGTTCTTCGCGGGCAAACCGGTGGTGGCGTGGCAAATGTCTGTTTTCTCAGGCTTATCAGCTGAAACAAACGTTAATTACGATGTACTTTTAATTTATAGAGCAAACAAGGTTTCCTGAGTTTGTGCTTACCTTAGAGCGGTTTTCATTTGAGTGTCGAAAAGTAATTGGTTTTGCACTTTCTACACGATGCGATTGGCTTAAAAGATTCGCGCCACCTTTTCATCCAATCAGAACTAAAACCAAAGCCAATTGTGACGCGCTCTTTTGCGTCAGCCACATGTAATTACTTCGAGTTTTGATTGGTTCAATGTATTGTCTGTGTCCTATGTGATTGGCCAGAGTAATTACTTTGGTTTTGGTTTTACGACACTCAAACGAAAACCACTCTAAAGTCAAGACCACAGACATCTTTCTCTGCCCAGTCCTCAACACGTCACATTTGTCCCTTTCAAAGTCCGCTTAATAATTATTACAGAAAATGCCTACTGTTCGATGTCTTATCTGCCAAAAACACTGTCTGAGTTGCCTGGCAGTATGGGATCAAACTGTTAAAATAATGATAAGGGAAGGTATTAATTTTAATGAAATATAACAATAGAAAGAATTTTCGACTCATTGCTGCTAGGCATCAGCCGGCAGCAGACCATATTCTTGAGCGATTTGAGATTTTTGGTTCAATGGTTCAATGGTTCAATCTGTGACTGCAGCGCTGTGCAGTCAGCGGTTTAAGCAAGTGCTCAGCTGCCGCGCCGCTTTGTTTCTTAGGAGCAACCCGCCATTTTGTTTTGTTCTCGTGTGTGCAGAAATCGTAGTCCATCGGATGTTTATTGTCTTTTTAAACGGCCTAAACAGTGAGAACAGTTCAAAAAGTATTGTACGGAAAATCTTTTTGGTTCATTTTTTTATTCTAGATTAGTTATAGCGAGTATTCTTTTGTCACACAAATTGTTATCTCGGGAATCAGGATTGTAAGTTACATAAGTGAACGCACTGAACGGCATGTATGTGTGCTGTACGTCTACCTGACCTGTGAATAAACAAGTTTTGGCCCAACTCTTCTCGTCGTGTGTGACGGGAGGACAGCCACACAATCGATTGTTCGATGAAGAAACAGCCTATCAGCACTGCTGTTGTTTTAGAATTTATTGAATTATTAAAATGAATTACAAAATCATATTGAAGCTTTAGCGAGTTATCTGAACGTAAGCATATTTGTCACTGTGATCGGTTCATTTTTTATATTTCGCTCTGAGTGTTTCATAATTCCAACAAGTCTAAGTTATTGACTTTAATTAAAATTTCATTTGTTCAACTGTTTTAAATTTACGTGTTGTCTTTGTCCTATTCGCATTGCAACTAACGGCAGCACTTCCCTTCTCAATGAGAACTTCTAGTTTTTAAATATACTATTGGCTGGGAGGCGTTAACTCTAGAGTTCATCTTCTCCTTTACGTACATTCGATAATATGCAATAAAGAGTGCAAATTTGCGTGTTTTTTACGTTATAGGTAATAAAATTATTATTATTCTTATTATTTTTATTATAAGACAAAACTGTTGAAACTGTTCCTACGGGCTTATGAGGATTTTTACAGGAGGATTTAACATTTTGTGATTTTTTAACTTAAACAACAGTTACTGTAAACGCAAAGTATTAACAAAAATCTTGCTTTTTTAAAATAAAAGTTATTGATTCTGCAATTTCTCCCTGCAGGTTTTTCTGCAAATCAATTTCTTAATCATCTCCTTCTTTATGTCCCTCTTGAAGAACGCATAGACCCAAGGGTTGATGGCGGAATTCAGGACTAACACGGGTATTTTATAGACTTTATCATTACAACGGGGATGATGAAGAAGTGATACCAAACTGCAGCGCAAATATATTCCATAACAGACGAGAAACAAGCCTATTACAATCGCCATCATTGTTACTGCTGATCTGTCCTGACTGCTGACTGTCAAATCTCTGTGGTTGAACCGTAGCTGCTTTGCTAAGGTGGCTGACGATCTATCATGTTTATATACGACAAATATCATAGAGGAAAAGCAGAATATTAGAAAGCAGCATGAAAAAATCTCCCAAAACATCGCAAATATGTTAACAAAATTGCACTTAACTGGAGCAGGTAAGAAAAATGAAGTTATGACAAATCCTACAGGGATTGCCCAGGAAACAAAAATCATTTGGATAACACGACCTCGGCTCATAAAATTTAGATACTTTAAAGGCTTAACAATCGCCACGTAACGATCCAGAACTAAACTGCACAAGCTTGTCACAGATGCGTAGCCGAACAGCCATCGTATTAGCCGTAGAATGATGATGTTCTTACATTTTGAAGACGAATTGTGGCTAGTTTTGACGATTTCGGAGAAAAACACTGAAGGGAAAACGCTAGCCCCTACACCGAGATCCGCTACTGCAAGAGAAATGATAAAAGCGTTGGTTTTAGTGAGGAGCCGTCGTTTGCTGCAAACAAGAAAAATAATGGAGCCATTTCCAGCCGCCGCCACAATGGATAGTGTCCAACCAAGAATCGTGAACCAAGTTTCCATTGAGGAGAACAAGACAACTTCAGCTTAACGGCGATTCTTCATCCAAAAACCCATGTTGTGATCGTTGAACGTAACTTTAGCTGGAAGCTTTATACGCTCACGTTAAACTCCTTCATCGGGAAGAAAGGTAAGGATATCTTATAAACTTCTGGTAACAAGGTTTGCGCCTTATCTTTAGAACATAATATACGGTATGCCATTTGATATATATGTCAATTTATGATAATCATTGCTAAATAGGCTGTAGGACAANTTATGACAAATCCTACAGGGATTGCCCAGGAAACAAAAATCATTTGGATAACACGACCTCGGCTCATAAAATTTAGATACTTTAAAGGCTTAACAATCGCCACGTAACGATCCAGAACTAAACTGCACAAGCTTGTCACAGATGCGTAGCCGAACAGCCATCGTATTAGCCGTAGAATGATGATGTTCTTACATTTTGAAGACGAATTGTGGCTAGTTTTGACGATTTCGGAGAAAAACACTGAAGGGAAAACGCTAGCCCCTACACCGAGATCCGCTACTGCAAGAGAAATGATAAAAGCGTTGGTTTTAGTGAGGAGCCGTCGTTTGCTGCAAACAAGAAAAATAATGGAGCCATTTCCAGCCGCCGCCACAATGGATAGTGTCCAACCAAGAATCGTGAACCAAGTTTCCATTGAGGAGAACAAGACAACTTCAGCTTAACGGCGATTCTTCATCCAAAAACCCATGTTGTGATCGTTGAACGTAACTTTAGCTGGAAGCTTTATACGCTCACGTTAAACTCCTTCATCGGGAAGAAAGGTAAGGATATCTTATAAACTTCTGGTAACAAGGTTTGCGCCTTATCTTTAGAACATAATATACGGTATGCCATTTGATATATATGTCAATTTATGATAATCATTGCTAAATAGGCTGTAGGACAACAAAAGCATTTATTTAATAATAGACCAGTTAGAAGGGTCTGTTTAAAAGAAACTCACGCTTTACTCAACGGAAAACAATTTTCTGGAGTCTTCATGCAGGATCCTGTTATTAAATGCAATTAAGCCGCTCTGTTTTATTTTTTCTTGATTCACCTGTTTTGAAATCAATAGCCGCTATTAATTGAGCGATAAAAACTTTGTTGAATGTCTACAGTAAATAAACTTTTATGCAAAGCGTTGAAATTCCCGTCCCTTTTTGGCTTGTGTCGCCATTAGATGGGATTTAGGGGCAATTTAGGCCAGTAAAGTGACAAAACGCAAAAAGCATTAAGAACAATTAGCTAGATCGTTTTCAGCTTCGTTCTACTTTACTGGAATGAACTTGTTCTCAGTTAACTCTGCGAAAGGCAAATTCGTGGAGACTTGAAGCTCCAACCTGTTATCAAACGCAACAAGCCACTCTGTCTCATTTTGTCATGATTCAACTATTGTTAATTCTGATGACTAATGCCTGGAGACTTAAGGATCGAAAAAAAAAGCAAGAAAAAAAAACAACAACAAACAAACAAAAAACGAAAAGTTCGTTCATTAATGGACTTCGTAATCATGGAAAATGAAATTCGTACTGCTTCTAGACGTCTCCCTCGATGTCCCGGTTGTTCAAAATATGTCCATAGCGATATCTATCAGGGCCCAGTTTTTCAAACGTTGGATGCCGCTATCCATCGGATAAATTACTACCCAGCGGATAAGTAATACGAAAACCAATTTCGGTAGGAAGATGATGAATCCATTTCCAGCTATCGTCAGGATAGACAGAATCCAACCAAGAATCCAAAACCATGATTCCATTTTCGTTATTTGAAAATGACCTTCTTGATAATCTGATAGATCGAACTATTTCTTGTTTTGCGAAATTCAAATTATTTTCTGATCGAAAACACCGGCTACATATACTAAAAAACATAACAGTTATGGAAATGGTTGCCTCTAAACCAATAAATAACAGTTTAGTTTCATACCGTGGTGGTCTTAATGTATACGTAAGGATATAGCATAAAGTTAATTGTTAATGGCAGAGCAATCTTCTGAATATTCAACATCTGCTGTGTCATTATTTAAAGAAAAGAAACTTTTAATTCCCTCTTGCGTACACAGAAGACTGTTGAGACTGTCACAGTTAAAACCTATCCAAAAAGTTCTTTTTAGTTTGCATTTTAATAGTTCTGTGGTTGTCAGCTTTCGTCACATCTCAGGGACCGCGGAGCAAGGTGAAAAGTGGGAGGGCTGACAATTGAAAATAATTTTTCCATATTGAACATCGAAAAAAGGAATAAAGATTCATTGCAAGAAAAGACGCGATTACAATGTTAGTATAGAAAATACTACACTGAAGTGATCTGAAAAATTTCTAACTATGGTTCACTGTTCAAGTAATGTAATTCTTCTTGNGTGAAAAGTGGGAGGGCTGACAATTGAAAATAATTTTTCCATATTGAACATCGAAAAAAGGAATAAAGATTCATTGCAAGAAAAGACGCGATTACAATGTTAGTATAGAAAATACTACACTGAAGTGATCTGAAAAATTTCTAACTATGGTTCACTGTTCAAGTAATGTAATTCTTCTTGCCATCGAATATTTCATTGATTCGAAAAGAGAAAGACACAAAATATAAAACTTTTATCAACTCAAAACAACTACTCACCTTCGTTTGGCTTGAAAAAGCTAGTAATTTTCTTCATTTCGTCTGATAAAACTGATAAAAAAATCTGCCGGAGCTGGAAGTACAAAACACACTGCCGAACGAAGCGAAGGGGTGGCCAAGGGATGGCGTTTGATCAAGGGGCAAGTCGGCCCCAGGGCACAATTACCGCGAAAAGTAAAGCACAGGAGTCCCACAAAATGCCTGGCCTTTGAAATTAAAGAAAATACAGAGAATATAGCGGAATATAGACGGGAAAATACTTGTTTCAAGTCTTTTTTTTTATTTTAATTTTTTTCCTTGTCAGCGCAAAAAGTAGGGGCGGGGGCGTAAAAAAGTGGTGGGGCCGCGGCCCTACCAGCCCCTCCCCCTCCGCGGTCCCTGCATCTAATTTGCAACGAAATTTTAGTTATGACCCTAAGTCAACGCCAAATTAATTATTAAATAATATGCAATAGCAATCGCCTACCCAGCCAATTTAGCCGAATTTATTATATTATATTCTCAAAGTTGACCTTCTTGAAAGAGATCTAGGCCAATGAAATGCGGTTTGTCTGAGTACTTCCTTTTGTTCTATTTCAGTGCTTACTTTCTAGTGCGGTTATTTTTTACTCGTTGATAGTGGTCAGAAGCTTGCATCACTTTATTCCGGGACAAGAGGCCTTTAAAAACTGACTAGGCACTTGGAGCAGGTGCATACAATAAACCTACAGGTAAATCAAAGCGTCATAATTACCTTACTGGTGTTGCTAATTAAAAATGGTTTCCGAGTGATAGTTTATCTCTTAGTTATACTCAAAACTGAGTATGCGACCCTCCTTATAGGGGGCTGATCAGTGTAACAATGAGTGTCCTAGCATGGGTGATTTAAATTAAAGAAGGCTTCGCCTTTCTGTTTAGTTTCGTGTAGTTTGCTGCGTGTAAGTTCTAGCGCCGGAAATAAAATGAACGTCGTTAGGGGTCAGATTGATAGTAATGTATACGTAGTGAAACGGGAGTAAGAGAAAGAAAAGGAAAGCAATGCCTGCTGTTTATCTGATTGCCAACGTCTTTCTTTGCCCTGAAACTGTTGACACCATGCATAACCAGAACTTATGTGATCGCTTAAGTTATTGGCATGTTGAGGATAGACAGCCGGAAATGACAGCCGAAGTTCATACAAACATAACAAGAATGTTTTGCAACATTATTTATCATGAATATTAATTAACAACTAGTGATAAAAATTTGTTCCCACTAGAAATAAAGATGACGTTTTTTTTTCTAACTGATAACTTCGATATGTAATCTTCAAGTCTTCTGTCTTTTCCTGAAAATAATGGTCTCAAACCATAACCACTAACCCGCTCACCTCCCTTCATACGAAAGTACTAAAATCCACAAGTTTCAGCTACCTATGTGCACAACCAGTTGCTTTAACGGCCTTAAGTTCCTTCGTGAAATCCCCTTCTCATCACCGACTACGCATATCATTTACTGGGTTAAAATTTTTCCCTTACTTTCCATTCTCTCTTTTCTGAAAAACGATGCTCGTGCACTTATTTAAAAAGGCTATTAGTTGTGTGTATGGTTGAACTTTTGCCTGTAATTACGTTAATTACTAATTTATCCTTACAGTCTGGTCATTTCCCTGAAGTATGGAAAGAAGCAATAGTAACACCTTTATTGAACGAAGAAGTGTGGATCTGACTCGTCCAATTTTAAGAGTCTACGTCCTGTCAGTAATCTATCCTATATTTCCATGCTGACGGAGAGTGCTGTTGCTGATCAGATTCAGTCGCACTTGGCTAAGAATAATCTGTATCCAGTGTTCCAGTCTGCATACAGGAAACTTCATAGTACGGAAACAGCTTTGGTGAAAGTTCACAATGACATTCTGACAAACATGAACACGTATCATGTGACTCTCCTCGTTCTGTTAGACTTGAGCGCCGCCTTCGATACTGTCGACCCTAGTATTTTGTTAACACGTTTAAGATCAAAGCTGTGTCTGAATGGAGCTGCTCTTTCGTTGTTCTGCTCTTATCTATCGGGAACAACACAACGAATATCTGTTCAGGAAGCGCTTTCAAATGTATTTTATCTTCGTTATGGAGTTCCCCATTGATCATGCCTAGGTCCCCTTTTGTTTAACATATATTCAAGCAAAATCTTTGACATTGTCGGTCGTCACCTTGCAAAAGTTCATTTTTATGCAGATGACTCCCAGCTTTATTTATCGTTCAACCCAAGCTGTGCTTTTAGTCAAGATGAGGCAATTAGATCAATGGAAACCTGTATCTGGGACGTTAAGCAGTGGATGACCTCGGACAAACTTATGCTTAATGACGACAGAACCGAATTTGTTGTTACAGCATCACGACATCTATTGAAAAAGGCTGCTGTTAACACTATCAGGGTAGGGGGTTGCGATGTAAGCAAAATGTCTGTTGTGCGGAATTTGGGTGCGTGGTTCGATGATCAACTTACTATGGCCGCACACATAACCAAAATATGAAGTGCTGCTTTGTATCACTTGCGCAACATTACACGCATAAGAAAATACCTTTCAACGGATGAAGCTGCGACTCCTATCCACTCTTTTGTTAGTATCCGAATATACTACTGTAATAGTCTGTTATATGGTGTGCCTAAGTGACATATTGACAATTTGCAGAGAGTTCAAAACGCAGCCGCCTGCAGACTTGTCGTTATGCAGGGCAAATTTTGCCATAATTTACCCCAGTGCTCCATCAGCTGCCTTGGCTTCCTGTCTCATTTCGTATTAATTTTAAGACTTTACCTTTAACTTTCAAAGCCATTCATTTTGTGGATTACAAGTTTATTGTTTGATTTAAAATATAAATTTATTAATGGGAGCTTCGCTTTTATCGCTGGCTAAATCTATATATCTTTTGTCTGGCAGGCATTAACTTTAGAGTTCATCTTCTCCTTTACGCGCATTTGATAACATACATGTGCATCAAGAGTGAAAATTTGCGCGTTAATATAAATATTTAGTCACAGCTAAAAGCGAAGCTCCCATTGATAAATTTATAACTTAAATCAAACAATAATTTTGTATTCCACAAATCAGTTAACGTAAGGGCACATTCATGTGACTTTTGAGGGAAAAGCTAAGTGATTTTGGAGTGAAACAAATTTTGTATCGAGTTGATATAGCCTTAGATGTACACCCAAAAAATAGTCTTCGGTCACATTTAAGAGCAATGATGGCTCTTGATCACAGTAGATAAGGCGTGAAAAACAAATTCTTGGAAAACAAATCAGACCGAATTTTTGGCGTTCGACAAGTTTACAAATTCTTGCCAATAACTCTGGGTGCGTGCAAACCAATCTTTTATTTTTTTTTATACACTACATCTTGAGGAGAAAGAGTACTATGAGGCGCTGTTTTTATCATACAGACCTCGTACAAAAGGCAGTATTTCACAATTTTTCAAGACAAATTTCATTCATTCAATATTTAGGGCCAACGAGGCACGCGTGGACTTTTAATTAGCGAAACCGTTCAAAAAATTTCCAATATCACCTATACGGCCAGCCGGTTCTAACTTTTGACAAGCGCCAAATTTGCGAAGAAATTTTAAAAGAGTTACGCTTCAACGTGATAAAGAATTTATTGAGTCTATTTTTTATTAACGGTTTTATAACGATGTGTAATCTTAAAAAGCGTTTGATACGCTTGGCATTTTGAGTACTCCTGCGAGCGATGTTTATGAACGCCTGAAAACAAACGGCAAAGCGATGAAAATTACACTTTTGAGACTACCAAAAATCAATAAAGAAAAATAATTCGGTAGAACATTTACAGAGACAACAATTTTTATTCACGAAAACAAATGAGTATTTAAGTGTGTTTAAGAATCCTCAAGTCTTTACTAGTAAGCTATATGTTTTGAGCCGTCGGTTTCCCGGCGTTGGCTGTTTTCAAAGATGAACTCACGAAAAGAAAATCGTTCAAAGCTTTCTTTCTACAGACAAAATTATAACTAAATAGTCTTCGGAAAGTTTTTTCTTTCTATTTGAGGTGAATTAATATCGACTAAAGGCTCTTTAAAGTTCTGTAAGCTTAAGCTTATATCAAACCTCATACGAGGTCAGATCAGTGTCTCAGTCAAATCTTAATACAAACGTGCATAAACTAGCTTCATAAACTGCGCAGCTAGACTTCATGAAATTAGATATAAATACAATAATTACTCAGGCTTACCATATTTCGAGATGCAGCTCCTGAAAGCTATCAAGTAAGGCAAGGATCGCTTGAGCCTTTATAATTCTCGTACGCATCCAGCAAGGTGAAAAACAAAAGCGATGCCATCCGAAATCGGATTATCGGCTTTGACAAGCGACGCATTTTTCAACCAAAAACCCAATAAACAAACCAGCCATGAATAAGAGAACACTCTTGATAGCAGCTGTATTCCATTTTGTACATCCAGTGGAAAAAGACAGTTAAAAACATCGATCACAAGTTGACTCAAAACTCTGTAACTGTCAAAGTAAACAATTTTCAAGATGCTGCATAAATTTTACGCATGAACTCACCTGTCATATTTTAACCAATCAGAGCATAAAAATTGGACGTAGAGCGTGACCAACACGTGACCATGGTAAGAAAAGGTCTTCCCCGCCTGTATTTAAAAAAACTGGCTGAATTTTTGCGTCTGAGGTCCGTTTGAAAGCAAAATCGTAATAGTGTGGGGCGATACTGACATAAACACAACATATTTGATATGAATTTAAAACAAAAGTAAACGTGAGCCTGCGATCATTTGAAAACAAGTAAATTGTCAGCGGATAACTTCAAAAAAATACTCGACCACGATGGGTCGAAACCTGAGCCCGCGATTCGGTCAGGTGATAGTGGTCAGCGGATACCCTGTTTTGACAGCTGTCAATTGATGACAACATTGATGTGCAATCAGCTTTCTCCTGGGCTCTAAAAGTAGCTAGAAAGTGTGAGAGTTAACATTGGTATGCCTGTGGTGCGGACGGACGGTCGGTCGGTCGCTCGGTCGGTCGGTCACGTGATTACCAAATTTTCTGGGATGGGTAGATTTCCTTAGCAATGGGGCTCCGCCCACACGCGCGCTTGCGCGCGCGTGGAGCTCCGCTATAAGTAATAAAATTGTTATTACGAATTATTTTTATTGTATTATTATTATTATTATTATTATTATTATTATTGTTATTATTATCAGACAAAACTGTCAAAACTGTGCCTACTGGCTTACAAGGACTTTAATGGAGGATTTAACATTGTTTGATTTCTAAACTTAAACAACTGTAAACGCAAAGTATTAACAAAAATCTTGCATTTTTAAAATAAAAGTTATTGATTTTGCAGTTTCTCCCTGTTTTTTCTGCAAATCAATTTCTTAATGATCTCTTTCTTTATGTCCCTCTTGAAGAATGCATAGACCCAAGGGTTGATGGCGGAATTCAGGACTAACATGGGTATTTTATAGACTTTATCATTACAACGGGGATAATAAAGAAGTGATACTAAACTGCAGCGCAAATATATTCCATAGCAGACGAGAAACACGACTATTACAATCGCCATCATTGTTACTGCTGATCTGTCCTGACTTCTGACTGTCAAATCTCTGTGGTTGAAGCGTAGCTGCTTTGCTAAGGTGGCTGACGATCTATCATGTTTATATACGACAAATATCATAGAGGAAAAGCAGAATATTAGAAAGCAGCATGAGAAAATCTCCCAAAACATCGCAAATATGTTGACAAAATTCCGCTTAACGGGAGCAGGTAAGAAAAATGAAGTTATGACAAATCCCACAGGGATTGCCCAGGAAACAAAAATCATTTGGATAACACGACCTCGGCTCATAAAATTTAGATACTTTAAAGGCGTAACAATCGCCACGTAACGATCCAGAACTAAACTGCACAAGCTTGTCACTGATGCGTAGCCGACCAGCCATCGTATTCGATTGATATTACATCTTAAAGACGATCGCGAATCGTCGCTAGTTTTGACGATTTCGTAGAAAACCTCTGAAGGGAAAACGCTAGCCCCTACACCGAGATCCGCTACTGCAAGAGAAATGATAAAAGCGTTGGTTTTAGTGAGGAGCCGTCGTTTGCTGCAAACAAGAAAAATAATGGAGCCATTTCCAGCCGCCGCCACAATGGATAGTGTCCAACCAAGGATCGTAAACCAAGTTTCCATTCACAACTTCAGCTTAGAGCTGTCGAATATACTGAAGAGATAGTTTTTGTTTCTAAACGAAGGTATCTGACACTGACTTTTTATCAGCACCTCAACTGGAAATTTGCTACTTCTGGTTACGGTAAGTAGGTGCGACTAAAAGTAAATGCGATCAAAGAGTCTGTTCACGGCGATTCTTCATCCAAACTGAATCCAAATCCAAGTTACAATGTTGTGATCGTTGAACATAAACTCTAGCTGAAAGCTTTAAGTTCGCGTTGATTGAGGTCCTCGATCGGAAGGAAAGGTAAGGATATCTTTTAAACATCTGGTAACGTTTGCGGCTTATCTTAAGAACATAATATACCATATATGCGTCAATGAATGACCTGACAATCATTGCTTAGATGGCTGTAGGACAGCAAATTGCATTAAGACCAATTAGAAGGGTCAGTTTAAAGAAGCTCTCGTTTAACTCAACGAAAAACAATTTATTGGAGACTTCAGGATCCTGTTATTAAATGCAAATAAGCTGCTCTGTATTTTGTTTCTTGATTCACTTGCTGTGAAATCTAATAACCGATATTAATTGAGCGATTAAAACTTTGTTCAATGTCAACAATAAATAAACGTTTATACAAAGCCTGGAAATTCCCGTCCGTTTTTGACTTACTCGTCATTAGAGGGATATGATTTAGGGGCAATTTTACGGTGATCCGTTCAGGCGCGGATCCACACCGACTTCCACCGTTTTACTAAAATCGGTCAGATTTTTCATAGTAAATATATTTTTAATAATAAAAAACTCTCCAAGCTGCAATCTTGCTCCATATCCAACATACAACATGGAAGTTTACTTTGATGAAATAATCGGCCGATTTGCAAAGATCACCCGAAGAGAATGGAACTGAGAAATATCCTGTGTGAACGACTTAGAAACCCAGCAAAGGGGACTTTTTGGAGTTAAAATCCGAAAAATTTCACGATACGTGACTCATAGCCCGGAGTCCCCTTCCCCACCCCACCGAAACTTCCACCTTCGGTTCTAGTTTAGGAAATCGGTCAGTATTTATCCGGGATCTGCGCCTGCAGTTAGTGACAAAACACAAAAAAAAATTTAGAAAAATTAGAGGGGTAGCTACCTTCTACTTTACTTGTAACTGAAAGTGTTAATTCAACGAATGGGAAATTCGTGGAGACTTGAAACCCCTTGTGTTATCAGACGCAACAAGCCTCTCTGCAGTTATTTTGTCATGGTTCAACTATTGAAAATGAAGAAATGATAAAGAAGCCTGAAAAAAAAATTCAGGACTCAACTATTGTTGATTCTGATGACTAATGCCGGGAGACTTAAAGATCGAAACAAACAAACAAATAAATGGACAAATAACCAAAACTCGTCCTTTGGACTTCGTAATCATGGGATATGTAATTCTTGCTCCTGCCAAACATTCCCTGGTCGTTCAAAAGATTGATAGCGCTATCGATCCACCACATAAATCATTATCCAGTGGATAAGTATTAGGAAAACCAACTGCGCTATATATTCAGTGAACACAGAAAGTCGAACATCAGCACCGGACGTTCACAGCTGTTCGTTTTTATACTTTAGCATATTAAAAATTACAACCTCACGGCAAATTGAGCACACGTCAATGTACGGAAAAGCTGCTCAATGGTTTATTAAATAAAACTGGTACAGCTGAAACCCATGCATGCTTAACCGGCAATGCAACCGGTAATGTTTACTCTTACTATATATTAATAGGTTTACCCAAAGAAATATAGTTTTCATTAAAACGCTAATGCGCCTCTTCGAAGAATCCTGAAACTCTGCCAAGAGTTTAAAGTGGACATTCTCCCATTTTTCTATCGTTAAAAGATGAACAATATTGAAAATTTTTCCCTTAGCATCTAAATTTTGCTTCTTTTTTCTGTTTTTTGAGGTATGACATACTTGGGCGACCCCTTTTGGATTTGTGACAACTACATTAATTTTTCCTTGTTTTGTTTAGGATTGATGAATACGTGCGTTTTGTCAATGCTTTGACGATGTGACATAAATAGTAAGAGACAGTAGTATATATCCTCAATTGCTTGACATTTTGTTCTTAATGGACTGTTGACAAAGTCGAGCTACATTTACCCACCGTAAAATGATGGGCTTCCCTGATAGGATCTACTTTGTTATCGATCCTTTTTTGAAGTCGCTCTGCAGATCAGCTTTCTTGTCTCCTTTTTTATGTCCCTCTTGAAGAAAGCGTGCACCCAAGGGTTTATGGTGGAGTTTAAGATCAATATAGGTAATTTATAATGTCTTTTGTCAATATTTTTTTAAAAATACAAAATATTTTTTTAAAAGACTCTCCGCCACAACAACATTAATCGACCAGCCACCCAATGTCTTTTGTCCGTAACGAATTGAGAACGAGAAGGCGTTGTAGATTTTGTACTCAATGTGGTCGTTATTGCTTTAATTTCCATTTTTTCTCTTTTTTTCTTCTCTTGAAAAACCGAGCTCGATAAGTCACCGAGCTCGATAAGTCATCGAGCTCGATAACCATTTCTACTTTGTCCCCCCGGAAGAGTGAGAGGCCTCGAGCTCGGTATCGACAAATCGAGGCCGGTTGACATATCGAGCTCGATAAACTCGTATCGAGCTCGGTTGCCCAGAAAACTAAACTGATCGCTAAACTGATCCGATATATCGACTTCGATAAACCCGTATCGAGCTCGGTTTCCTGAGCTCCATTTGTTTATCGAGGACGGTTGACATGTCGAGCTCGATAAACTCGTATCGAGCTCGGTTGCCCAGATATCTAAACTGATCCAACTGATCCACATCATGCAGAACATGACGCGACCTCAAAGAACATCGTTGAAGTATTTATAAAACCCGGGTATTCAATCCTAAACAAAACAAGGAAAAATGTAGTCGTCACAAATCCAAAGGGGATCGCCCAAGAAAGGAATATCGTGCATTTGAATCACTCGACGTGCAGTTACGCACGTTACGTATTTTAAAGGCTTTACAATAGCTATATAGCGATCTGTCACCAAGCTGCACAAATTGAATGCCGACGCGTATCCCAATAGCCATCGTATTAACCTAGGGAGCCAGATCGACCAGGTTCGAGACCATTTACACCTGCCTCCTGAGATCTCGCAGAAGAAGAGAGAAGGAACGACGCCCACTCCAACAAGAAAATCTGCCACAGCAAGCGAAGCTATGAACGCGTTGGTTTTGGTGCGGAGAGGTCGCTTGCGGCCAACAAGGGAGATAATGAAGCCATTTCCAGTTATCGTCAGAACCGAAAGAGCCCAGCCAAGAACCCAAAACCAGATTTCCATACTGTATGATTACTCTATCTTGGCTACGATCAATACTCCTAACGAGAAAATGAAAGCACCTGCATTCACCTGCTCCGATTTTACTTAGTGTTGTACTGACTTATGCATATATATCACACAATAATTACACTTTGACAACAAGTGAATCCAAAGCGGTCAGCGATGATGATGGCTGCTTCTTTTGAAGCTGACTAGTTTAGTGTTATTTGTTGCGTTTTATGTGTGTTTAAATAATTTAGTTTTTCGTGTAAGAGTTCCTGTTCAAAAACGCACTTAAAAAATATTATTTTGCTCAATATTGACTTACGTGCGTGTGTGCGTGCGTGCGTGTTTGTGTTTTAATGAATAACATTAAGCTATAGAATAAAGTCAATCTTGTTAAAAGGCCATAATTAGTCAGTTTTACTATCACGTGCCCTTCTCCATTCTAATTTTTTTCTTTTTTTTCTTATCAGGTACACGTAGTTTAAACAACCTTGTACTAATTAATATTGTACAACTAATGTATTACAACTATAGGATAGAGTAAAAATTAAATACAAATACAAATTAAATACAAGCGAGTCAGCAATTTCTCTAAACAGACTATTTATTAATTACTATATCTATTTCAAAGATATTCCCTTCTTTTAAAAGGAGGACATATTAGGAGGTATGCTATTATTGGAAATTTTGGTTCTCCGTGCAAGTTTTTCTCGAGTATTTTTTATTATTATGAAGTAGGAAAGCTTTAGTTGAATTATTTGTGACGATCAGGGCAAAATATGTTAACGTTTTTCTTTTCTTGACGCGCTTTTACGATCTATTTTCAACACACACTACGGGGAGTTTTGAGTTTAGTTCTGGATAAGGACCGGCTTGGCCTTGTAGTTATTAGTTAATTACTCATCCGTTAAAAAAATAACTGCGGAATAATTATCAAATAATTTATTGATCATGTTTTGAAAAAAAAAAAAAAAACAAAAAAAAAAAAAAGACAAAAACAAAAACAAGGAAGATCGAAGGGCTCTTAGATTTCTTTTCAAAATATAAGCAAGTCAGGCTTGAGATTCGTGTTGTATTTAGACAATTAGTTGAAACCCATTATTCAGAGCCAACGATAAAGCTTTATGAAAGTTATATGATTACCCTTGCTCAGTTTGTAGAGAGTTAGATCCCAGCCAGATTTGAACGTATTTGGTGAAGGCGAAGCAGATAATTAATTTGCAACACGCAAAGGGAAATCCATCCCGGAGGTCGGACCCGGTAACCAAACAGCCTCCTTTAAAATATCAAAGACTTTCATCAGAGAGGCGAACTTTTAGGAGGCCACTTGCATGCATTGGTTTTGTTACAAGAATACTTAGTGGAATCTACTTATAACGGACACTCGTTTACATATAAGCTCGCAGGGCTTTTTTAATTTAGTATTTTTTAATACCGACCATTTTATGTAACCCCCATGAAACGTCATACAAAGTTTACCTGATCTATGCACTGTATACCAATGACCTAACCAAACTTATAATGGACATTTTACAATTATCCCTGATTATCATGGGACAGTCAATCTTTCCTCTCCCATCCTGTTGCGTAAGGTCACTATTCTAATGACGAATGAGGAACGGCTGAAACAGCATTTCCATATGACGTGTCACTACCTAAGATCTGAGTAGGGCGTCCCGAGGGAAATTTTGCGTCAACCAATCAGAAGCACTATCCAGATCTGTGTGGTGACAGGTCATCAGCATGGAATTTCTATGCTCGTTCCTCAGACTTTATTTCGCGGGGAAACCAGTGATGCCGTCGCAAAAGTCTGTTTTCTCAGGCTTAACAGTTGCTGCAAACCTTAATTGCGATGTGCTTTTAATTTATAGAGCAATTACAAACAAAGGTTTCTTGATCATGAGTTTGTGTAGGTTAACGTGAAGTCAAGATCCCTAGACAACTTTCTTTCAATCCCTAACACATTTCTCCCTGTAATTTAGTTTTCAAAGTCCGCTTAATAATTATTATGGAAAATGTCTATTGTTCGATGTCTTTGACAATTTATCTGCCAAAACACTGCCTGAGAGTATGGGATCAAAAGCACGATAAGGGAAGGTATTAATTAAATGATAATAATAGCTAATAATAGATCTAGAATAGAAATAATTTTCGACTCATATTTTAATATACTGTTGTCTTACAGGCATTAACTCTAGAGTTCATCTTCTCCTTAAGCGCATTTGATAATATACATGTACATCAAGAGTGCAAATTTGTGCGTTATAAGTAATAAAATTATTTATTACTAATTATTATTATTATTCTATTTGGTCAGAGGCCCAGTCTCATCTACCCAAAAACATTTACAATTTTACCATCCGCTACATCAACAACTCCCTCCCTACACGTAAGAATATGGCAAGATGGGGATTATCACAAAGTCCTGATTGCTCCTTTTGCCTTTAAATCCTGAATCACTCTTTCATGTTGTCGCCGGTTGTCAACAGTACCTTGATCGCTTTACCTAGAGACATGACTCGATCATTCCTTAACTTCATTGCCAAGTCATTTCAACCTGTAATTAATGTTGACTCTTCACTCCATGCAGACGTAAATGGTTTTCTGAATCCCTCAATAATAACTGGTGAAAATTATCGTCTAGATCTTCTTTTCCTAACCCAGTCCAAGTGTCTATATGTTCTAGAATTAACACTGAGTTGGTTTCGAGTCTAACCTTAACAACAATGAAGTGCGTAAAAAAGACAAACATCTGAACTTGCACTGATCAACGAAATGAGTAGAAATTACAGATGTGCGAAATTTGTAAATCTCTCCATGAGCTCCCTTGGCGTTTTCGCCGATGAATGCTCCACGTTCTTAGACCTTGACAAAAAGCAGCAACTTTATAATAATCAAGAAAATGATCATATAGCCATTAGAGCAACATACTACATCTTTTGTCGTAGAAATAGGAATTGGGATAGCCCAGACTTACTGCAATGTTGATTTCTTTTCTTTTCCTTCCTTTCTTTTTTTTATTTTTGGTTTTGATTTTTTTGTTGAATAATCTAATCTCAAGCAGCATTTGTAAATTACCAATACGTAGCGAAATTTACAATTGTACATTCAAAAACACAAATAAAGTTTCCATTACACAAAACTGTCAAAACTGTACCCATTTGCTTACAAGGATTTTAATGGAGGATTTAACATTGTTTGATTTTTAGACTTAAACCACTGTAAACGCAAAGTATTAACAAAAATCTTGCAGTTTTAAAATAATAGTTATTGATTTTGCAGTTTCTCCCTGGTTTTTCTGCAAATCAATTTCTTAATCATTTCCTTCTTTATGTCCCTCTTGAAGAATGCATATGCCCAAGGGTTGATGGCGGAATTCAGGACTAACATGGGTATTTTATAGACTTCATCATTACAACGGGAATTATAAAGAAGCAATACTAAACTGCAGCGCAAATATATTCCATAGCAGACGAGAAACACGACGATTACAATCGCCATCATTGTTACTGCTGATCTGTCCTGACTTCTGACTGTCAAATCTCTGTGGTTGAACCGTAGCTGTTTTGCTAAGGCAGCTGACGATCTATCATGTTTATATACGACAAGTATCATAGAGGAAAAGCAGAATATTAGAAAGCAGCATGAAAAAATCTCCCAAAACATAACAAATATGTTAGTAATATTTCGTAGCTGTTTTGCTAAGGCAGCTGACGATCTATCATGTTTATATACGACAAGTATCATAGAGGAAAAGCAGAATATTAGAAAGCAGCATGAAAAAATCTCCCAAAACATAACAAATATGTTAGTAATATTGTGTCTAACTGGAGCAGGTAAGAATGAAGTTATGACAAATCCCACAGGGATTGCCCAGGAAACAAAAATCATTTTGATAACACGACCTCGGCTCATAAAATTTAGATACTTTAAAGGCTTAACAATCGCCACGTAACGATCCAGAACTAAACAACACAAGCTTGTCACAGATGCGTAGCCGAACAGCCATCGTAATCGCCAACCATAGATCTTACATCTTGAAGACGAATTATGGCTAGTTTTAACGATTTCGCAGAAAAACTCTGAAGGGAAAACGCTAGCCCCGACACCGAGATCCGCTACTGCAACGGAAATGATAAAAGCGTTGGTTTTAGTGAGGAGCCGTCGTTTGCTGCAAACAAGAAAAATAATGGAACCATTTCCAACCGCCGCCACAATGGATAGTGTCCAACCAACAATCGTGAACCAAGTTTCCATTGAAATAGAACAACTTCAGCTTACGTTCAGCTTGGAGCTGATGGAAAAAAACACAGTTTCTGCTATTTCTGGTAAAAGGCAGGAGGTACGACTAATAGTAACTGCGATCAATAAATGTGTTAACGGCGATTCTTCATCCAAAAATTCAAATTCAAGCTACCATGTTGTGATCGTGGAACATAACCTTAACTGGAAGCTTTATACGCTCCTCGATCGGAAAGAAAGGTAATGATATCTTATAAACATCTGGTAAGGTTTGCGCCTTATTTTTAGAACATAATTTATACCATTTGATATATATGTCAATTTATGATACATTGCTAAGTTGACTGTAGGACAGCAAAAGCATTTATTTAATAATAGACCAGTTAGAAGGGTCTGTTCAAAAGAAACTCACGCTTAACTCAACGAAAAACAATTTTCTGGAGTCTTCAGTATCCTGTTATTAAATGCAAATAGGCCGCTCTGTTTTATTTTTCTTGATTCACCTGTTGTGAAATCATTAACTGATATTAATTGAGCCATAAAAACTTTGTTGAATGTCAACAGTAAATATTAAACTTTTATGCAAAGCGTGGAAATTCCCGTCCCTTTTTGGCTTGTGTGGTCATCATTAGATGGGATTTAGGGGCAAATGTGGCCAGTAAAGTGACAAAACGCAAAAAGCATTTAGAACAATTAGCTGGGTCGTTTTCAGCTTCGTTCTACTTTACTTTAAATGAACTTGTCTTCAGTTAGCTCAGCGAAAGGTAAATTCGTGGAGACTTGAAGCTCCGACCTGTTGTCAAACGCAAGAAGCCACTCTGTCTCATTTTGTCATGATTCAGCTATTGTTAATTCTCACTAACGGCCGGGAGACTTGAAGATCGGAAAAAAAAAACAACAAGAAAAAAAAACAAACAAAAAAACGAAAAGTTCGTCCATAATGGACTTCGTAATTATGGAAAATGAAATTCGTGCTGCTTTAGATAAACATGTCCCCGTTGGCCATAGCGCTATCTACTAGGGCCCAGTTGTTCAAACGTTAGATACCGCAATCCATCGGATAAATTACTACCCAGCGGATAAGTAATAGGAAAACCAATTGCGCTATCCCCTGGATAGAGATTTAACCAGTGGATATCGTTATCCGTATCTTTTTTGGGGTCAGATAAATCAGTATAAGACTATACAGTGGATAGGTATTAAGAAAACCAATTGCGCTATGCAGTGGATAAAGAATTATTCGATGGATAGCCTTATCCACGTTTTGACCAACTGGGGCAAAAAGAATAACAAACCTCCGTCTTCGGATAAACTAGTCTTAGTGAAATTATGACGCCCGCATATTATAAAATCTTTTTATTAACCCTCGGACCTACATGGTGGTTGTATGCCTCCCCCTTCTGAGGTTTTTCTGAGTTTCCCTAGAAGATCAAACATGAGCATCCGACGTTTACAGCAGCTGTTCGTTTATCCCTTGCGTGCATTTTGAGATAAGTTTAGTGATGATCGGTTACCATGGTTACGAAATATGACATCATAAGTAGCAGGTGGTCAAGCCATTTTTGAATGAAAATGTATGTTTTTTCAACTTCCTCTAACGATAAAAGTAACACTTGCGGATAAAATGAAGGAAAAGTACTTGTATTTTATGTGTTATTTGACATGTTAGCCGTTTTTACCTGATCAAATTCTTGGTAAAATCAAAAATGGCGGCCAAGATGGCGAATATGTTTGGTGACGTCACAGGCCTCTAGCAGGGCAACCGCCCATAAAATATAGGAAGACCTTAGATAACAATAACCTCAACCAGGCTGGCGTCCAGCGGTTTTAGCGAAAACAAGGGTTTGGGTGGGGTGCTCAATCTCGGTGGGCTCATAAAACCCGGTCTTGGTCATTCTTATTTAAGGATTTTCTAAAATATGCCTCACTGATCTTGTCGAGAAGATCAAGGCATTTTCGCTTAAGGTAAAATCTTTTCGAAAAACTGTAACATGTCAAAAACTTCAGAGAGGGGTTCCATCAACCCCCTTTCCCTGCCCCTACAGCATTCAAACTTCTACTGTAAATTTTTGCAACTTTACCGAGCTAAGTATCTTTGCAAGCTTTTGACGTATCACTTTCCAAATTTTTCCAAATTGGCAAGTTTACTAATATTTAGGCCCTCTTTCCAGTGGCGTTGACGGATTTTCTCTAACTCATCAGTTACATGCCAAAAGTTGTAAAAAAAAAAAAACCCTGGAAGGGTGTACTGAGGAACGCTGTTTCTATGTCTCTGCGCAGAGAAAGGACCGCCATACATGTTTAGTACCTGGCCATGTACGTGAAGCTGTGAGCAGTTTGTAGGTCAATGTAGGGCATTAAGACAATACCTTCTCCTTTATATTTCAAGACCCTGAGCATTGTTTCCGTCCAGTAATAAACCACGTATTCAACGGTAATATACCCTGACTCCATAACTGAGTTTATCATGCACATGGGATCAAAAAATGTCCAGCGAAGTACATTTCATATATTACTACATGAATTGCTTCTATCAAAGGTTTCTATCCTGTTATCCTTTTTAAACGTTGTTCTACACACTAGTTTTTTAATCTCCTTCTTTATGTCCCTTTTGAAGAAAGCATAGGTAAAAGGGTTAACGGCAGAGTTTGAAACGAATATTGGTATTTTATATCTGACATCGTTACAGGAAGGTTCGTGAAAAAATAATAATACAAAATCACAGCGTAGATAAATTCCATAGCAAGTAAGAAACAAACCTACAACAATTGCCATCATTTTAATCGCTGATTTGTCGGGAGTTTTGAGTCTCAAGCCACTGTGGTTAAAACGTAACTGTTTTGCCAAGATGACTGATAATTGATCATGTTTCAGTGCAATACGAACCATGGAGAAAGTGCAGAATGTTACGACACAGCATGAAAAAATCTCCAAGCTCATCCAGAAGAAGTTTGTAGAAGACCGCAAAATTGGAAGAACCAAAAAAGGCAGGATGGTTGCGAATCCTAAGGGAATTGTCCACGAGAAGAAAATAAATTGAATGACGCGACAGCTGGTCATGAAAGTTAGATATTTGAAAGGTTTGACAACAGCAATGTATCGATCCAGTACTAAACTGCACAAGTTTAACGCAGATGCGAAACCAAACAGAAATCGGATGACTCTTGTCAATTTACGACCCGCTGCAGGCGAATCGCAACCTCCTGTAATATCGCAAATGAAAGAGGAAGGAACAACGCTCACTCCAACAAAGAAATCCGCCACGGCCAGCGAGACAATAAAGGCGTTGGTTTTAGTGCGGAGCTGCCTTTTATTGCACACAAGGAAGATGATGAGTCCATTTCCAGCTATCGTCAGGATAGACAGAATCCAGCCAAGAATCCAAAACCATAATTCAATTTTCGTTATTTGAAAATAGCCTGCTTGATAATCTGATAGATCGAACTATTTCTTGTTTTGCGAAATTCAAATTATTTTCTGATCGAAAACACCGGCTACATATGCTAAACACATAACAGTCATGGAAAGTTTCCTGGTTGGTCAGTTGTTCGGTAGTTGGTTGCCTCTAAACCAATAAACAATTCAGTAAACCAAAGCAGTTTAATTTCATACCGTGGTGGTCTTAATGCATGCATAAGGATATAGCATAAAGTTAATTTGTTAATGGCAGAGCAATCTTCTCAGTGAATATTCAACATCTGCTGTGTCATTATTTAAAGAAAAGAAACTTTTAATTCCTTGTTGCGTACACAGAAGACTGTTGAGACTGTTATTAAAACCTATCAAGAGACTATAAAAGGAACAGAGAGGGCATCCCCCATATACACCCTATTCCATAGGTAATTCGTCTCGAGTTATTTTTAACACCACAGATCTCAAGGGGGATTAGACAACAGCCAATCACATAGCGCGAATGTGTTCCGCGTGGATGACCCACGCTGAGAGCCACGCGTCCTTCACGAAATGACGCAGAACAAAATGGGGGAAGACGCGGAGAGCGATTTTGCTATTCCTTTTGTCGACGAAAACGACTACAGCGAGATTTCTGCGAAAGCTGTGTCAGCGAAACCGAAATTAAAAAAGAATCGCCCTTCCTCTCTTGTATAGAGCTAACAGTAGAGCAGGGAAATCCTTAACACACTGAATATTCTCTCAGGATCATTTATAATTTACAGTTTGAAGAGAGCAATTTCTGGTTTGATGTTTATTTTTTTCAGTCTTTATAGCGATTATTCCTACCCACTTACTTTGTCAATTGTAGGCGAACCCTCCTAAAGCTGAATTTCAAGGGACCATATTCAAGCTCAGAAAGAGAAATAAAATTTCGTCGTTGCTTATTTACGTCCTCCATAAAACGCGAAATTAGGCATTTTCACGTCGTAGTCGTGCAAAAACGGGAAAGAAATGAACAAAAAAGTGTGTTGCACGTGCGAAGTTGTTGTTTTGCTAATTAAACCTATTGTTTTTTTGACGTTCTAGTTGTCGTCCGCGTCGTTGGATCTTAAACTCCCTAAATTGTACAAACGACCGGTTTCAATAGACCGGCGAAATTTCTCATTTTATTAAAGCACTGAGGTTACGACAACTTCGAGTTAAACTGATTTCACGGGTTGTCAAAGAGTCCAGCGATTCCTTTTTCCCAGGTGAGCGCCGACTCATTTCGCTTCAATATTCAGGAATGCTCTCGATCTTTTTACGCTTTCATTGTCTCTCGCCCGACATGTTTTGCACGGCGTTTGGTCATGCGAAACCTCCACGAAACATCCACGCCTCGCGCGAGGTAACTTTATCCCGATTCTAAAAATAACTCGAGACGAATTACCTATGGAATAGGGTGTATATGGGGGATGCCCTCTCTGTCCCCTTTATAGTCTCTTGAACCTATCCAAAAAGTTCTTTTTAGTTTGCATTGTAATTGTTCCGTGGTTATCAGCTTTTGTCACATCTAATTTGCAACGAAATTTTAGTTATGACTCTAAGTCAAAACCAAATTTAATTATTAAATAATATGCAATAGAAATCGCCTACCCAGCCAATTTAGCCGAATTTATCATATTTTCAAAGTTGACGTTCTTGAAAGAGATCTATTAGGCCAATGAAATGTTTGTCCGAGTAATTTAGAAACATGTTAACAACATCAGCCAAACTTAAGATTTTCACTTCTTTCATAATGCCTCAAATTACATACTGTCATACAGTGTGGCATTTCTGTCGGGCACTGGATAGCAGACAGATGGAGCGAGTACAAGAGCGAGCGCTAATAGAGCCGTCTACGGCGATACGAGAAGTTCATACGATGAGCTCTTGAGAAAAGCTAAACTCACGACACCAGGCTGTCGCCGATTGCAGGATATAGCCATAATTATGTATAAGGCAAAGTACAATATATGCCCTCCGTACATAAAGGACATGTTTAAGCTAGACAAACCTCGCTATATATATGGTATTATTTTATATGATAAATCCGAAAACGTTTTATTGACATTTTTTTTTTAAAATTATATTTTTGTAAATTCTATTCTTTGTAAATATATATATTTTTTATATTAATTAGTAGAGCTGATAGTATTTTAATTTAGTGTCCCCTATTAGTAGGCCTGACATAGCCAGCTAGAAGACCTGACACTGAAATAAAGTTTATCATCATCATCATCATCATCATCATCATCCTTTTGTGCTATTTCAGTGCCTACTTTCTAGTGCGCTTATTTTTTACTCGTTGATAGTGGTCAGAAGCTTGCATCACTTTATTCCGGGACATGAGGCCTTTAAAACTGACTTGGCACTTGGAGCAGGTGCATGCAATAAACCTACAGGTAAATCAAAGCGTCATAATAACCTTACTGGCGTTGCTAATTAAAAATGGTTTCTGAGTGATAGTTTACCTCTTAGTTATACTCAAAACTGAGTATGCGATCCTCCTTATAAGGACTGATCAGTGTACAGTGTCCTAGCATCGGTGATTTAAAATTAAAGAAGGCTTCGCCTTTCTGTATAACCTAGTCTACTTTGCTGCGTGTAAGTTATAGCGTCGGAAATAAAATGAAGGTCTTTGATTCAGGGGTCAGATTGGTAGTAATGTATACGTAGTGAAACGGGAGTAGGAGAAAGGAAAGAAAAGGAAAGCAATGCCTTCAGTCTATCTGACTGCCAACGTCTTTCTTGATCTTTCTTTGCCCTGAAACTGTTGACACCATGAATAACCAGAACTTATGTGATCGCTTAAGTTATTGGCATGTTGGGGATACGATCTGTCTCTCCAATGTTCCTATAACTCCCTTTTTACATTCATTATAAATAGATTTTGAGATTAACAAGAAATGTTGTCCTGACTGGCAGTAATTGATGATGTGCGTTTTGCAAGATGAGTAGCATTGTGTTGTCGTGGTGTAAGGGACTGATAATGATGATGATGATGATGATGATGATGATGATGATGATGATGATGATGATGATGATGAGGAGGAGGAGGAGGAGGAGGAGGAAGAGGAGGATAGTGGTAGCCTGCAATGCAGGCGTTTTCTTGCGGCGCGCGAATGTTTTTGCTCGCGAAAGCGCCATGTTGAAACTCCAAAAGAGAGGAGGAAATGGAGCAAGTCAAAGGGTGAAGGTGCCCGGTTACTATTTCTACTCTCATCAATCTTTCCCAGTCATAAAATCAAAGATGGTGGCATGGCTACAACAATACGAACACAAACAAGCAGCTTTCGCCCGCCCAAAATACGCCTGCCTGAACTGAACTTCGTGTAGTCCATTTATAAGGTCTGTAATCACTCGTGATTAAACAAATCGGACTCCCGCTACGCGGTCGTCCGATTTTGTTAATCACTCCGTATGATTACAGACCGAATTGCACTCCACTCAGTCCTGGTACCAATTAATCATAACTTTAACAAAATTTTTGACATATAAAGCTCTTTTTAAAACCAAAGCAGAAAAAACCTAATTTTCTTTTTTGCTAGCAGTGAAAAAAAAAACCATTTAAGCCTAAAATCAGGGCAGTTGATAGCCAATCAGATTTGAGAATTTTGTTATAGTTATGACTATAATTGTGATCATTTAGTTCATATGACACCCAAACTCATTCGCGGACGTGGATTTCCTTTTTCTCCTCATGAATTGTTAATGATTTTATTAGAAAAAATGGGAAGACAGTTCCCTATCCGTAATTATGTATATCTGCGATCACTTTAATTTCGTAGTTTTATTCCAAAGTTAGCCCGTTACGGGATATATAAGAAATAGACTTGTATATGATATATCATACTCAGATAAAATTGAAATGGCGGAACTAAGACAAAGATAAAAAAAAGTTGTGACAGTTATATATTGTGGTCAATTAACACAGCTGACTAAAAGTTCAATATTTTCTTTCAACGCTTCTTTACAGCAGTGTCGAATTTAGTATAGCTGCATAAGCTTGTTACTGATTTGTAGCTATCCAAATAAGACCAGGTTAAACAGAAGCTACAGATTTAACGTCCCTGAAAGTTTCTTTAAGAGGAATCAGCAGTTGTTTTGCTTCTGCCGAGCTGTTAACCAGGCCTTTGTAGAGTTCTATAAGGCCGCTCGACTACGTGACTCAAAGGCCTGGGAACCAGGGGAATAAGACAGCCGAAGTTCATATATGCAAACCACACAAGAATGTTCTGCAACCAAGTTTTTACAATATTAATTAACAATGATAAAAATTTATTCCCACTAGAAATTACGATAACGCTTCTTCTCTCTAACAGATAACTTCGATATAATCTTCAAGTGTTCTGTCTTTTCCTGAAAATTAGTGTAAAAACATAACCACAAACCCTCTCTTTAGACGAAAATACTAAAATCCACAAGGTCCAGCTACCTATGTGCACAACCAGCTGCTTTAACGGCCTAGTTCCTTCGTGAAATCTCCTTCTCATCACCGACTACGTACATCATTTACTGGGTTAAAATTTTTTCCTTACTTTCGAATTTCATTCGCTCTTTTCTAAAAAAAAACGACGCTCACTTGTCATTAATAAAGCCATTTCAAATCCCGTTAGCTTCATAAGAGCAAGGCGGAAGTATTTTACTAAGTCAGGCCAACTTGAGTTCCTACGGCAGAACGATTGGCTAAAATAATAGACATTAAACTGTTATTGTTCCTGGAAGTTTCTCTACGGATCAGTCTTTTAACCATTGCCCTTATATCCCTCTTGAAAAGAGCATACGCCCAAGGATTAATGGCGGAGTTTAAAATCAACAGAGGTATTTTATAACTCAAATCATCACACGGTAAGTTTAGAAGTCCTGCAAAACTACAGCGCAGATAAAGGCTATAGCAAATAAGAAACAAAGCTACAACAATTGTCATCATTACAATAGCAGACTTGTCGCGATGTTGGCTAAAACGACTCACTTTTCCTAAGCTAGTTGGCACTCGGTCTTGCTTATAGACAACACGTAACATGGCGACGAAGCAGAAAGTTATAAGAGAACATGCGACAAACTCCACCAAAAGTGTAAACAGATTTATAAACATAGAAATTGAAACATTATACATAACCATGAATAGCAGAACGATGACAAAAACTAAAGGGATTGCCCAAGAAAAGATGATCATTTGAATAACTCGGCGGTTGGTCATAACAGTCAGATATTTAAAGGGTTTGGCGACGGCGATGTAGCGTTCAAGTACTAAACCGCACAAATTAATCACAGACGCGTAACCAAAAAGCCATCTTATGACATATGTACACAACGGAACCGGTGCAGGCCAATCGCGGCAGCTTCCTTCCATATCGCAAACGAAGAAGAAGGGAACGACACTCGCTCCAACACTGAAATCCGCCACTGCAAGCGAGACGATGAAGGCATTGGTTTTGGTGCGGAGCTGCTTGGCATTGCACACAAGGAAAATGATGAATCCATTTCCAGCAATCGTCAGGATAGACAGAATCCAACCAAGAATCCAAAACCATGTTTCCATCTTGAGATTTCCAAATCAACCGTTTGGCCAGTGGCAGAATCGATTGGACTTCCTCAAACCTTTTTCCTTGTTCGAAGTTTATGGTGTTTGCTTGAATTGTAAGCCGATAGTCGCGGAAAACGTTCTGGTTTTACAGATATTGAACGATCATAGGGGAAAGGCCTCTTAACCAATAAACAAAGTAAGGCGGTTAAATTTCAAACCATGCTGGTGTTATTTAGGGAAGCATGAACTTATGATAAAAGAGCAATTTTTGGAATATTGTACGTCTGTCATTATGTTAGGAAAATTTTTTTTTCGTGATCTGGGATAATTGCAACGAAATTGTATACTACCCAAAGAGTACAAGAGTATCCTTTACCCGGTTATGCGTTTGATGGTCATCAAAAGTGCTTAAAGGGGCTATGTCACCGTCCCGAGGGGTACTCCTGGGAATTATTGGTGGGTATGTGCCGCCCGGTTCTATAAATCCTGACCCTATTTCAGACAAAAAAAAATGTCATTTTCCACACCCGTTTTCAGACCTGGTCTCTAAAATCCATACCCGATTTCAGACCTGAAAGAGGGTCACAAAACGCAACATCACATGTTTACAAAAAACAGAAATTATGTCATCATTGCTGAGATTAAAACCGCCACAAAAAGATTTCTTCAATACCATTTCGAATTCGCATATTACACTTTCTTTTTTATTCATTTGAATTGAAACGACGAACAAACTGATACACAACCGTGGTTCCTTCGTAAACCATACGCGCTTCCCGACCAAAATGGGCAAAATCTATACCTGTTTTCAGACCAAAACAGTGCAAAACCCATACCCTTTTGGCGGCACATACCTATATGGCTCATATAAGGGAGTACCCCTCCCCCCCTCCGGCGTCTTAGCTGCCTAATTCATTTTGTTAATAATGCCAATTAAGGAACAAGCTGCAGTTCGCTATATCGAACTTGAGAAATTACTTGTGAATGTCAATATCTTAGCTTCGTGTCAAACAAAATAATACGTCTCCCAAGCATCAAGCTTATATCAAATGTTACAAGCAACAAATTAAAATGAACTTTGAAAACTTGTTGAGCTAGCAAGTTTTCAAAAACCACAATTGCATTCAATTTCAATCTTCTTCAAGCTTTGTCCATCCGTGACTCAGTTATATTTGATCTATTATTGAAACCTTCATTTAATGTTTAAAGTAGTTATTTTTATGTTTCACTCAGTTAGGTGGCAGTTCTTACTGTTTGAAGTTTGATAAATCCCGTGGCACATCTCCTTTTAAGGAAATAATTTTGGGCAGGGGTGTATCAGTACCATAAACCGACACGAAAAAAGCATGAGCCGCTTTTAACTCATTGTCGTTCCTAAAAGGGACTGAATCATCGTATCAGTTTCCCTTCTTGAGTAGCAGGTGTTGGTTTATTTTTAACAACAATTTTAAATTAGAAATTCTGAGATATTGCACTGCGGCCTCCGTGAAAATTCATATCACTTGACTAATTGTTCTAAGGATGCGGTCTTCCTCGGGAGAATTGTCATACCCGTGGAAAGAAAGAAAAAACGCCAACTCTGTTCCTGAAATCTGAAGCTCAGCACTATTCAGGAAAGGGCATATAAGGCGGCCCGGTGTTTTTAGTTAACGATTATTTAAGTTGCAGTTCAAATTTTAGAAGCAAGATCTTCCGGTATGACTTAATTCGAGCATTGAAAATGCAGTAAAATTCCTGATCAGAGTCTGCACTGTTCACATATGCGAAAAAATTCCTGTCAGGCGGCTAGATGGTTGGCCATATCATCCAGGGCCCGTTTCCTCGAAAGATGGTTAAATTTAACCCAGGGTTAAGCCAGATTTAAGCAAGGTTTTCTTGTCCAAAAACATGTCACTCGAGGTTAAAAAATACTGTGATGTCTTTATTTCGATATTCAGTATTGATAACACAGAATGTTACTCTAAGCAATGCATAGGAAGGTAAATACAAAAAGTGGAACAAAGTTTTTCAATCCTGGTTTATCTGTGCCTTTAATCTGTGCCTGGGGACGAGACATAATTGATTCGAGCCCAGACCTCCATCACGTAGGAAGCCATTTTTGATTTCTTGTTGCACGTGTGGTTTTGTGAAGTTTGTTTTTTCCAATGTTATGGCGTTTGAACTACTTGGAAGGGTGGCTCACCGATTTATTGGTATATCCGTAGGTCTGGGGATGGGAGGACTGCTAATTTACAAGAGTGCAGCCGAGGTTTTTCCTCGACAAACCTGCAAAGCTATCACTGGGCTCAGAAATGATGAAGAGCCGAAGACCCACGTGAAAGTTCCTGAACGCTGCAAATTACAGTTTAATGAGGTGGCGAAGACGTTCGGTTACGAAAATGTAGAAGATATCGTGTTGTTTATTAACCAAGGAGCTTATCCAATTTCGGCTGGATCTCCTTCTTTACCGAACGGATCTGTAGTAGGGTTACCGAAATGGTTTCTGTTTGAGAGCGAGCAAGACGTTGAAAAGTCTGGAATAAGTTTTAAAGGAAGAGACATCAAATGGGATTCAGAACTTGGAGTTATGATCAAGGAATGTCTAAGTCCAACTGATGATATGATAGCTTTTGCAATCGGCCATGAACTTGCCCGAATCCAGCGTACAGATTATTTGGCTATTAACGCTGTTCTTGCACCAACGTGGTTGTACTTCACATTTAGGATTGCCAATGCCACTCCACGATTTTTTAAACTTCGGACAGTACTTGACATAATTCTTAAGCTTCTTCTATGCAGGATGAGCTACCTTTGTTACAAACTTGTCAATGGATATCTCTATCACAATGTAGTTTACACTGCAGACGAAGCAGCTGCTAAATGTGATCCTAGAATGCTCATAGGAGGTGTAGATTTTCTCTCCAAGAGAATTCAGCTCAACTTAATTCTGCGTAGATTGCATGGTAGGGAGGGAAAAGACTACTACACAAAAGAAGGAAATGAAATTGAATCCTATCTATATCCACTCTTGACTGACAGGCTTGAGAAACTGAAAGCTCTTCAAGGCGGCCAGAATACAGGTATGAATTGATTTCATGTATTTCTCCTAGGGAAAAAAGTAAACTGATTTCCCAAAGGGAGGCCAGAGTAATAAGTGATTTGCCATACTGTCAACTCTTTTTTGGAGTGGCACCCTTTATTATGTCTGCTGTAGAGAGATTTCCACCTCACATAGATTCAAAGTGAATAACTAAAGAATTGCAGTGATAAACTCTAAAGTAGTACTGGAAGAAAGTCCTGTCCAGACATCTGAGGGAAATAGATTTTCTCGCTGGTCAGGTAATTTTTTTCAGACTCACTTGTACAGCTGGCAAGGGTCAACACAAGTCATCTTGTAACTATAAAATCATTAACCACTTGACAAGCAGGTAATGACCCTGAAAAAATGTGAGAGACAAGCAAGAAATCAAGTTTTTTAGCACCCTTTTAAGAACCCATTTTAACCCTTTAAGTCCCAATACTGACCAACATCAATTTTCTCCTAACAATATACATAGATTGTCGAGAGCGAAGTCCAAAATTATTAATAAAATGATCACAAAGAGAAAAATCTTTGATCTTTTATCAAATTCTCTCCACTAACTTTTTAAGGAAAGGTATGAAGATCAGTCTGGAGAATTTGTATGTAGATATTGCAGTTTAAAGGGTTAAGGAGGTCTGCATGTTCTAGTGATGTGGGTTAGGAGAGAGTTGACTGTATTTGACTGTACAGTGTAGTATTATATTGTTTTTACTGTTGGCTACCAGAGTGCAAGGACATTGCATGCCTTCCACCAATGTGGCCTCAGTTTGAGTCCTGCTTGATGTCAACTGTGAGTTGAGTTTTTAATTGGTGCTCTTCTCTGCTCCAAAGGGTTTACCTCTGGGTCTCTGGTTTTCCTAGCCTGCGCCACAGATTAAACAAACTAAACTCTGGTTAAGTCCGTCTGCAAAACGGCACTGAAATCCTTGTTCTGGGCTCCCACCTGTTTACCACGATTTTAGTATGCACCATGACTGGCCTGGTAAAAATGAAATTGTTGATTTGCCAATCAGTATGAAAGGAAATTCAAAACACATTTCTGGTTATTCGTTGAATCCATTTGGGGCCAAGAACAAGGATCTTGGCGCTGCTTTGCAGACGTTTCTAACCTAGGTTAAATTACATCTGCGATGCAGGTTATGGTTTTCCCTTCTCCTAAAAAAAAAAAAAAAATTTCCAAAGTCCGTTTGGACAGTGTCTCCAGTTTGTTGGGGTCACTTAGAGAGCCACAGGCTTGATCAGTTCTAGGAATTGTCATGTGTTACCCTCTCTAAAATAAGACTGGTTACTTAGTTTGTGTTTATTTGATTGTCGTAAGTCAACATTGGCAGTTACGTAAATGCGGGGTTTCTGAAACAACGCAACGTTACTTTTACACAGGCACCCAAAGTAAACAGTTCAGTCACTTACATGTATACCAGGTACCCAGTATTCCCTGCTTCTGTCCTGACCTTGTTTGCTTGTTGAGTCATGCTAACAATAATAAATTGTTATTGTTGAAGCTAGTTTTTACAATCACATTAAACCTAACACAGGGATGTTTACTTGCCTGATCATCATGTAAGTTATGTCACCAATGTGTATATTTAGATGGCATAATAAACAGGGTAAGAAAAAAATTTTGAACTCCACTTGTCCAATGGACAAGTGAAGTTCTGGTTTTACTTGTCCAAAGCTCAAGTCTAGTTGTCCATGGATGTAGAGTTAAATTCAAGCTCTCTGATGCATGATAATGGCTACGAAGCAGAAACCTTTCTATTTCGGAACTAAGATAACATGGAGCATTTTAAGTGTCAACAAAACACTCATAATGCATACAAGTAATAGAATACCTATTTACGGTGTTGTTTCTAGAGACTTTATATCAGATACTACTCTGAATCACTGTCAGAGCTGCTGTCTATTTGAGGTAACTCAGGCAAGGGAGGGTTGTCACGTTGCTTTTTCTTCTCATTCACCACGGTGCTTTCTGTAGAAGGTTTTGCCTTTCTCTTTAACTGCTCTACCGGTGCACCAAAATAGCTTTTGATGCTTCGTTGATCAGCCATTATTCATGTGCTGATAGTGACTTAGAGGGTCTATTAATAAATGAGCAAATCAATAGCCCCAAACGAGTCCCAGGTTCCTTTCGGTACTCATTGAAATAAAATGGCAGATAAATCGTAAGTGGTCGACTCATTTCGTTTCTTACTTGTAAGTTACTTTTGCGAAGAGCGATCTGTTTTACACTTTCGAAAACTTAAATGTATACTAATTTCTCCGCTGAAAAAGTTTAAAACACCTTGTTTTTTTTAAAAATTATTTTCTGAGATTCATTCACTTGTCCAAAGGACAAGTAAGATTGACAACCCATTAATTGTCCGCGGGCCAAAACCACTTGTCTGGGGCAAGTGGACACCGTCTTTGTCGCACCCTGAATAAAGCAGTAGCATATAATTTTGGCACTGCCAGCTAATTCAAATTGTGAATCCAACTTGGTGGGAAGGAAAGATTCTGTGGTATTTTGTCTATAGTTTTCTTTTTGCTGGTGCTCTAGTCTGCTGCTTGTGTCAGTAACAGCATCACACAGTTGAACTTCCATTAAGTGACCCTCAGGGTACTGACAAGTGGCCACTTAATGCAGGTTGGCCGCTGAACAGAGGTTTGTCATAAGTTAGCATGCATGTAATCTTTACCAGAAAAACCCCTTGGTATTTATTTTGAAACAAACCTTGCAACGGGAACAGCATTGCTGGTCTACAATCAGTCATCACCTTCTATTTCAGACTTAATTTTCCTTTGTCATATTCTTAAAATAAAACCAAACTAAGAGTATCAAGTGATTGATGGCCACTTCATGGAGATGAAGACAGTGGAAGAACTCTTGTTGGGACAGCCAAAAGGTGGCCACAGCCACTTAATAGAGGTTTAACTTCCTATTCTTTTCTACAAATTATTTCAAGACTTTGGTTACTGGCCGCTTAATGGAGGTTCAACTGTACACTGCAAAGATACTTCTAGCTTCAAAGCTGCATAGAGCTGTGAGCACAATTTTACCTGTTTTGTGGTATTAACTCATCAACTCTTAACATGTCTTCCTTTTTGTAGGGCCTGAGGATGTGGTTAATGAACAACTGCCTATTGTTGCTAACAAGTGATTAAGAACTCTTGGTTGTGATCTCTCAACTCTAAATGAGCTCTTGTAAATGATGATGGAAGCAGGGCTTGGTGACAAGAATAGTCCATATACGTGCCTTCAGAGTTGACCTGGCCTTAAAGCAACAACCACATTGATTCCCACCCTCAACCCCAACCTTGTTCCCAGGGTCCTCCCTACCTGTCCCTACTGAGCGAGAGAGAGAGAACCTGGGAACAAGGTTGCCTCAACCCTTTTTTTAAGCCTCCCACTCTAGCAGCAATCCCGAAAATATTTTTTTAAGTAAGAAATTGCATGATTATTATATTTTTGTTATGCAGGTTTAAAAGGCTGCTGTATTGTTAACGAAAAGGCTTTTAAAACTCAAAAAAATAAATAAATAAAAAATAAAACAGATCATTTCCCTCTAGTTATAGTCTGTTGAAATTGCATGAGTAAAGATACTCCTGGGACACAGGTATTATTTTGTGTCAGAAAGGTTTAAAATGTAAGGTTCAAAGATACATGTACCTGAAGTTTTTAAGCCCCAATATTCACATACAAATGATCTCCATACATTTCAATTAAGGAATTAGCTGAAATAATTTAAAGACCAAAGCATTTTCCAGTTAGTGTTTATTTTTTCATCCTCATAACCTTTTCTCTTGGTTTTATATTGGTATTTCGGAGGAGAAAATTAATGTTGATTACTCTTGGGACTGAAAGCATTAAATATAACAGGGTAAATGGTGTTAGCCCATGTAAACTCTCAACTGCTGGATACATTTTTTCACTGCTTACATTGTGCCTACAAAAAAGTCTCCACTAAGCCCTTTGTTTTGGATTTTATCCTTGGCACCTTCATGGTGAGTGTCGTTGAGTGGGGATAATTGTCAGTCTGTCTAATTTTTAGTTTCATTTTGGAGTCGTCGAATATTGGCAGAATACTACCGTAATTGACCTAATAAACGCCCTGCGCGTCTATTTGATTTTAGGGGTCCAAGCGTGGACGTCTAATAGCTAGATAGGAGGCGTTTATTCTTCATTGCTGTAACAATCTCAACAATACTAATATGCTTTCCACAAAAATATCAAGGCCGTCTAAGAGATCCATATTAGGGAGCTTAAGCAAAGTACCAAGCTTTTTGAAAAAAATCCACTTTTCAGCATAAAACAACCAAATCTGTCTATTTCATGTAAAATCAGGTGAAAAAGTTGGTAAAAGGCCATTTTTAGGTTTTTTGATTAAGCAACAACGACAGCGACGGCTACGAAAACGTCACTTTAAAAGTGAATTTGCGCTGCTGTATCAAAGTTCAGGAAAAGAAAAGGAAAAATGACTTGTGTTCCCGTCCTCGACAAATCGTGATATTAGGCATTTTCACGTCGTAGTTGTGCAGTGACGGCAAGGAAATGTACAAAAAGACGTGATGCACGTGCAAAGTTGTTGTTTTCCCAATCTAAACCTATTGCTTTTTTGCCGTTCTCGTTTACGTCGCCGTCGTCGTTCCTTAAGCTCCCTATAACTCTTTGAAATCACCACATTGACGTCAGAACTACTCGCTCATTGTTATTGTGTTGCCATCGTTAGTCTCTACTTACTTTAAACTTGACATGGAACAAGTTGAAATACGCAAAGCCTTCTTTATCAAGCAAGAAACAGAGTGAACTGAATAACTTTGCACCTTTCTGCGAATTCCTAGTATCTTGGACTAATTCTCATAAAGGGCGTCTAGCTATTAGCTAGACAGGAGGCGTTTTTTTAGAAACGGGCGTCTAATAATTTTTTTACAATGTACAGGGTGGCTTTCATTAGATAAGGGGGCGTTTATTTGGAAGTGGGCGTTATTACATGTAGGTCATTTACGTACATCAACTTGAAGCCAATTAATGCTGATCTAGCTGTAACATTCCCCTTCCCCCGGAAAGATAAACAACACTGCAGAGGCTTACGCCCTCTATTCAAACAGCACAGGGTCTCTTCTGTCTCCTTCCGATAAATTGATAAGGTCGATGGAGACAAGGCCAGTCACCAATCATCACTGTACAATTGTGCCATCATCTGAAGTGTTTCAAGCTTTTAATCATGACCAGCATGATCTTACTTCCCACTTTTTTTAAAGACTCTGGTTGGTGGTCTTGCGGTTTTTTGAATCTCTAACCTCCTGTCCACACACTGGCTCTCCCTCAGCTGAGCGGCTAACTGGGTTGAGGGGTAGAGTAAATCAGATTACCCTTGTGGTACACCCCCAAAATGAGGCTACAGACGCCTGTTTTGGATGAGAAACACACTAAAAAAAACTTCCTGATTTAATGATTTAATTAATTTATTCTTACGAAAAAGACGTCGCATTTACAGCAGTTAAAAGGGATGCAATGTTATAGATTAGGTATATGAAAGGGGTACCATTTGTGAGTATAAGGTATACGAAAGGGCTACCTATCAATTTATATAATATTTGTGTTGCAAAAAAAAATCTATGGCCAATTTTTACTTATGACACCAGACAAGAGATGTTATTTTTTATTAGGTTGAAACCAAGGGAAGCAGTTGAAAAGTAGCTTAACAGTCTGGCCGTCTGGATCAGCGTGCTGTTATTGACTAAAATTCTCGCAGTGATTCCGTTTGCACGGAAACTGGCCACATGTCGAGTTTTGATTTGATTTTGTTGATTATCTATATCTTTTGTTGATGTGCTTAAATGATCAGAAGACTGCTAAAAGATTTTAAAATTACGCTGTGATAAACCTGCAGTAAGTGAAAATGGTGAGATAAAAGAGGGTCGATTCCATGTTATCGCGGTATCAACATTTCTAAAGAAAAAAAAACACAGAAAGAAACAGTATACACAAAGTGGACAAAAAAAGACGTCAGCTCGAGCTCATGGTTTAAAAATCTTTAAACCTTATGAATGAATCAGAGCTTAAACAAGAGCATAATTTTTTTTATGAAGGCCCTTTTGAAACTGGTACGCGATTTGGAGACAAGAATGTGGCATTACCCGCAGATCTTGGAGTTGTGGTTTTAGCATTTTGGTTATTAACAAAGGAAGTCAGTGTCTCAAAGTGGTATCCTTCTATTACGTTTGTCCTTCCTGAAGTTGTCCATCGTGGCGGTGGTCAAAGTTAGGCCGTGCCAATCGCCCAACCAACCCATGCGGCATTTTTTCTTTTTCTTTAGGAAATGATAATTTATAATGACGTCGATAATTAAAGATTTCCTTTTATTAATTCAAGGCTAAGAGCCAAACCCTTCTTTATTGAAAATGAGTTCTATTTGCATGAGAATAGAAAATCATTTTTCAAACCACAGCTTCGTACTAGCCTCGCTTTAAAACGATGGCCTATTTGCCGAGAAGGGAACTGGAGCTGAAATGCCGTCCCGCAAGTGTTTCTGGGATTGTTACTGAAAGTCGCGCCGGTCAGCGGTTGGCCAGTTTTATTTCCTGTCTCTAGTAACAGTCCCTAAAGACCCCTGAAGTCTTTGCGGAAGTTAACACGGCCGCCTCGTTTCTTCAGTGGCGAACTTGGCACGCTCGTCGGCGGAGACAAATACTCTGTAAATTAAGTTTGTAAGCCGAACGTAGCACGCGAATGAAAATGGAATGGAAATTGTGTATTACTTTGAGTGCTTAGAAATGAAAAAGTCTAATACTGGAGAGCAAGTTAAAAAAAAAAAAAAATAGGAAAAAGATGGGTGTTTGACCTTCTCTTTTTTAAAAACGGGAAGTTCTAATAGTCTGTATCAGCCCGGACCACCTTATCGCGGAAAACAAATACAAAGAGGGTTGAAAGGGGACACTTATCCTATTTGCTATCTCTTGACCAACAAGTTTCTAGAGTTTTCTCAAACACACACCGATGAAGACATTAATACATTTGTACTGTACTAGACAGAGATACTTGATCTTTAACTTAATTGATTTAATAATTTTAAGGTTTGTTTGATTGATATCATATATTCAAAATGAACACATAGGACCATAGGCAGCTGTTGTTGGTCATCGAAAACGTTTTGGACTACGATCTAATAAATCATTTTAAGGTTTGTTGGATTTATATTTTATATTCAAAATGAACGTACGTCAGGACGATAGGCAACCGTTGTTAGCCGCCATCGCGCGTTTTGGAGCTTTTGTTTGACGTGCCAGAATGCCCAGGGCTATGGGAGATGTTATATATGCCTAAATAAGCGATTTCTACGGCGGAATACGATCTACTCATTTCATTGTGTGTATATGATATTTTATATGCCCAACTGAGAAGCTTACATTCTTAAAAGAGACCGAACTTCTTAATTTTGTTTGATGCATTACCAGTAATCAGAGCTGTCAAGCTTTCACCCGCTGATAAAAAGACTCATGCAGTCCGCTGGATTTTATTCATCGTTTCAGTGAATCAGTACACGTACGTAATTCAATAACTATCTATCTCGTTACCCCGCTTAAGTCCGGCGTATACATACTAACAAACTAACTTCCGAGGGAAACGTTACTGTGAGAACCCACGGTGGGTACGGTCCCTATGATGGCCTATACGGGGAGGCTCCGCCCAAAAAATAAGGGGTACCTTTTTCAATCCTCAGGTATTTAAAAGTAAAAGGGTAGGGAAACCTATTATTTATGGAAGGAAATTTGGTAAAATTGTTTCGAAAGGACGCACCTTACGGCTTGATCATTTTGACTTATTAACGTCAAGCGAAAATGACAAGAAGACTTCTTGTCTTAGTCCTTTATTCTTCATGGTTAAGTAGGGGTACTATTTTTGGCATCGAACCTTTTTACCGAAGTAGTAGATGATAGTTGACTAGAATAGTACTAGGTACGCATAGGTACGTACCAAAAGTCCTGAATCCGGCCCCTGTGTTGCGGATATCTTAGGCCATTTTTTGTGTCCTCAGTGTGATGATCTGGCCTGATTTTGCAATCCTGTCTTAACTCTCTTGGTTATGCATGCTGAAAAAAAAATGTCCTTCGTTTAGCTAACTGCTGCGAGCCGAAGACTTAGCGTCGTTTCGCAAGC